CTGGAAAATGAAAACCCACCTAAAAGGTGGGAAAACAATTTCAACAAAAATGTGGAAAATGTGCAAGTGTGAAGGAAAGTGAGAAAAAAGCTGTCGAACGGTGCAAAACTTGGAAAATTGAAAACATTTTCCAAGTTCCATGGAAAATGTTGCCCATCAAACAGGGCCTAAGAATAAAAAGTTTAGAAGATGAATATTCAAAAATTGTGTGACTCAACTAATGTTACTTATGAGTCACGCACTTGAGCTAGTTTGTACAATTATACGACTTGAAGCAAGGGATTGAAGTCACATTAGACGTGTGACTATCGCACGTAATCACAAATTATTTGCATAACATGTCACCTAAGTGAAATTATTTTGCTCAATTATACAACTTCAGGTGCGGGTTTAAAGTCACGTCTGATGTGTATTAGTCACAATTATATCATATCCAAGAAAAAATAATAAAAAAAAAAAAAATACCCTAATCATGTTTTAATGCGCAACTTTGTGATTCTATTCCGCATTATGGTCACAAAAATAGTTTAGGGGTCATAGCATATCAATATTTCAGCATACATTAGTATCAATATTTCAGCTTACATTAGTTTCAACTTTCAAATGAGAATCAACAAATTATTTGGAGAGAGAAGATTGAAATCTTAGAAAATATCTTGTCTGTGGCCCTTTTCCATAAAAACAAAAAAATTTAAAATGTGTTGAATTTTAAATATACCTGATTTTTTTGTAGAAATATTAAAAAATTACCGATTTCTCAAAATGCCACTTCTAACTCTTATACGTACTAATTTTTTTCTCGTGATATATTGGACAGACTATATTAGAACATCTTTCTTAATTCGATCTTTTTATCTAATTTAATGTAACAAACATATCTAAGAAATTTTATTTCCTTGTACTTAATGTGGGATAATAAGATGGTTCTTATTGACTAATGTAATTTCTAAGTTTCCTTGAAAAATAATTGTCTTAGGGATGGCCAAGTTAATTGCTTAGTCAATGAGTTTACACACATGATGTTACCTTTGATTTAACATTAATTAGGTGTCCAGTCCTAATTAACTACTTGGAAAATGGAAATATGCTTCTTGGGTTTGGTTCTTGATTATGTATAGCGGATGTCTAGTCTATTTGTAGGAACTATTTTAAAACAATTACTCGAGCCAAGAAAAACTTCATAAAAAGTCGGTATATTGATAGTGTTTAAATGATTGGATACGATTTACGAAAATCAACAATGGTATTAAGGTCATGTTTGGTACATATTATTTTTTTCATTCTTATTCTTCTATTCATTTTCAACCACACATTTTTCAATAAAATAATATTTTTCATTACATCAATAATTTTTCCTTCATTTTTAACCACACATTCTCCATCAATCTACTATTCAATAATACATTCTTTCAAAAGAATGTGTCCCAAACACACTCTAAGACTAGGGCCAAAAAATAAATATTTATTTGGTTATTAGGAATTCAAAAGGTTTTGAAAGATTCAATAAGCGCGAGTTAAGTTTAAAGTACCACCCCGTCCCGCGACCCGAGACGGGGCGGTGAACCCCCGCCCTGCCCCGCACCACACCGCAAAAAAAGACCCTGCTGGAACTGGTTAGCAGGGCGAAGTGAGTTCGATTGATAAAATTGTAAATTAAACTAAAATTCGACCCAATTATATGTAGATAACCAATTATTAAAACTTATTAAAGAACCTATAAACCAGTCGTCTGAACCTCAAAAATGGGTCGGTTCCCCTGAAAATTTTATTTATTCTACCGGTTCAATCCTTTGACCTATTCACCTTTTCTAGATTAATGTTTGGTCTGATTTTTAAAACATTATTAAATATGAGATTTCGTGGCTTGTTGAATGACCGTTAAATATTTAGACGCTTTATTGAAATGCACCCATTGTTTATTTTACATAAACTTTATATGTTAAAATAAATGAATTGACAGATGAACCTTAATTGTTTATTTTATTTTGTAATAATTGTATTAATTAATTTGGCTTAGCTCCCAATAATGGATGGTGCGAATGACCTAATCCATATTCGAAAAATATAATAAAATTGCCAAATAAGTCCAAAAGGAAAGGAGAAAGGTCAATGAAGAGGAAACAAGCGTAAATCATGTTCTAGCTAAAATACAACGTTATTAAGAGCTTGTTTGGGAGAGATTTTTGGAGGAAGAATTGATTTTGAATAGTGATATGATAGGAAATGTGCGATCGAAAAAGAAGAAAAAATTATTGATGTAATGGAAAATATTATTTTATTGAAAAATGTGTAGCTGAAAATGAGAATTGATTTACTGTAGAAAAATTTAATCCCTCCCAAACAGGACCTAAACAATATAATATATAAAATTTGAGTTCTTTCTTCTATCGAGTTAAATGTGCGTGCTTGGAGCTAATGTTGTCGGGTTAAATTAGTAGACTTTTTCCCTTTTTTCACATCAGGATTTTTTTTTTTTTTGGTTACACTCATTTTGCAATAAATGTTCCTCAAGGTTCACTTAACGTTGTTTATTGTCCATTATGCTACATGTATGTCCTTCGAGAAATAAAAAAAATTTGAAGATCGCAACTACAAATTTTATCCTTTTAGGAATGAATCAATTTCACCATCTTTATGTAGTTGTTTAATATATTTATTTTTTCTATTTAAAGCAATTTTTTATTCTTGTGAAATGTTTTATTTATTCAAACGACGATAGATAAATAAAACACGAACAATTTTCTATTTATATGATTAAGTTAATATTTATTTTACAGGGAGATTTTTCAAACAAAAACCTATATAAATTAATGACCATTATTGGACGGCAATTCGATTCTTAAGTTTGTTTTTCAAAAGTATGGAAGTTATGATTTTTTGTTATAAATTTTAATTTTTAGATGGAGAATATGAGAATAGAAAAAGTAAGCCAAGTCTAACGAATCAAAAATAGTAAACCTCTATGAATTTTCTAAAAAA